GAGGCTGCAGCAGAAGGAACAGTAGAAAATAATGTCTTCTGTTCAAATACACACTTAGCTGACTGGAAGGAAAAATATGTTAAAAAAAATTCAGATTCTTGCAAGAACATGCAGTCCTAAAACCTTTACATTTTCAAAGGCAGTTTGCCAAACAGTTTTGTGACTCTTGATTCTGTCTCATTCATAATTTAGTGTATGGTACACTCTTCTTTTCTTTCTATTCCATGTTCGTGTAAAGAAAAGACAAAACTATACCACTTTCTTTGTTACGCAGCAGGAGAAATAAAAAGGAAGTTGTGCTGACCTGTGAAAAATAAGGTAAAGTGCAAGCATAGAATATCACACCTACATCTGGAAAACATTATTTTCGGTATTATTTTGCTTCTATTTGCAGAAATTTTAAATGTCACTTGCCAAATTATTCACGACAACTGACAAATGCAAGAATATGTCATCAAATTACATATAAGTATTGGAATCTTGGGTCTTAGCACTGTATTTATTGTGTACTTTGATCTGTGTCTATACGGTATTTTAAAAAAGCTGAATTCATTGAAGGTCCCATTTTTAGTTATTAATGTAATGTCCGCCCCTAAAATGGCCTTCATGTGATGGAAAGGCCTGGGTAACTCAACCATCCTGAACGCTGTGTTGTCAAGGATATTAGCTATTTTTCAATGGAAAATTGGTCTCAATCAGATTACCTAATTGAAAAACTTCAGTCGAGCTACATGGCTGTCGCCCAGAAAAGGGAAACTGGGCCACACCCCCTGGAGCTGTGTCAGCATTCCTCCTGCAGTGAAACCACCATCATGAATCCTGCTAGGAAATTTCGGGAAGTTTGCTGCCTGTTAAGGAAAAAACTGCTCCAAAATATGTGTTGATCTTATCACATTATATCAATCCGATACTAATACTCACTTGGGTATCAATACAATCAATGCTTGGATCTATACACTCTTCTTGATCCCAGGAGTGTGAATAAGTTACGAACAAAAAACAATAATAATCCCTGAATGACTGAAAGCAGTAAAAAAAAATTACACAGTGCTACTTTTTGCTTGTTTTTTTAAAGAAACAAGCTGTGAAAGCTGTGTGTGGCTGTGAAATAAAGTGTAAAAGGGGACACAGGACATATTCAGCCTACATTGAATAACTGACACACCCCCTCAAAATAGTTCTCAATTTGGTATGCTTTGAGATGAGAATTTAATGAAATATAGGACAATAATCACATTAACTGACTTACCTAAAAATGCAAGGAGTTAAACTGCAGATGTAACTGGATACAGATCATCCTCTCGAAGATCTCACTTCAAGGACACATTCCCTAAATCTGTCACTAACACACACCACAGTGTGGCTGAGTATGTGCACAGGTTAAAAATAGTACCAATGGGAAACTAAAATAAAAATGAAAAATGAAAAATAATATAGATCTGTGGAAATGTCACCTCAATTGTAAAGAAATAAAATAAGTTAGACAGGTACCAGGCCTGAACACATGCTGTATAAATGAAAAACTAAAACGGAAGCTTTGTTCCTTGAGCAAAAGTTCCTATGTACCTGTCTGACTGACTTTATTTCTTTTCCAAGAAAAAAAGTTATGTAAAAACATCAAATTCATATGTACAGATTATGCTGGAGGGTTGGCACAGTAGTGCCATTTTACCCAACACAGAGTACTGCCTAAAACATTTACCAATGTTTTTCTCTCCACTCTCTTACACTCTTAAAATCGTGCCAACCCTCAACCCAATACAGAACTAACCTTCTTAACTAGTTTGTCTTCAGTTTTTGTCTGTAGTGCCACTCCCCCAGCGTAAAAAAGGGTCAAGGCATTCTCAATGACGGTGTGATAAAACATGCACAGCATGTCACTACAGACATTGAAGGACATCAGCTGTTCAGAAACAAGAGAGAGCTCTGACCCTAGACACTGCTTCTATGTTTGCAGACCACTCCAGTTTATTGTCCAGCAACACCCCCAGTTATTCGCAGGTCTAAACAGTTTCCATCTCCCCTCCATCATTGCAGACTGACTGGTTTTACATATCCTGAAGTCCACCACCAGCTCTTTGGTCTTGTCGGAAGTAGCCAGTTCACACATGATTTCTAGCACTTTTTCATGGAATGGGACTTGTCAAGCTGTAAAAAATTAAAAATGGGACTTCATTACAAGGAGGACAACATTGGAAATGCTTTATCTAAAAGGTCGCAAAGTAATTTTGGTAAACAAAAGAAAAAAAACCTACAGCAAATGAAAACTATAGAAAGTCTCAATTTACAATGTACGTCTGGAAGAAAGACTAAAGCAATTTTAGGAAACTGCAACTGGACAAAAAGTTAAGTCTTAAAAGTCAGGTCCCAGCTAAGGTGATGTTTCTCTGTTTATTCAGCTTTTTCTTAGTTACCTATTATTTATTGAGTTATTTCATTTCCTGATAAATTCTGCCACTCAGTTATTGTTTCATTGGCTTTTTAAAAAAAAAAATTGATACTTTTGGGGAATCTTTGGGGTTTTTTTTATTCTAATGTGTCAGATGTCTTTTTTTTCCGGATAGTGTGACGGCTGAACAATTGGGATGTACTTCACAGGACAATCAAGAGCACTTAGACTTCAGTACAGATTACACTGTTTGATGCTAACCATTGCTGTATAACACTACTGGAGAGGAGTGATAGTGCCACTTGGCATTTTGCAGTGTAGTCTGTCTCTCAAAATGCAGCATCTGCTTCTTTCTTTCAGCAGTTTTAAAGGCTAATGATATCTTTAAAACATATTTGCTTAATTGCAATTCTACAAAAGTTATTATAACTACGTATGTTTGTATGTATTTTTATGTCATATTGCTTGATACATTATTTTGCTGTGAAAACACATTTGTCAACCAAACTTTAATATTTCCTTGGTTGCAAGTCACCAGGTGGCATTGTCGACCTTATTTATTCTTCCCTAAAACCCCTCAACACACAGGAAGATGGTTAGTAACAACCATGAATCCCCAAAACAAGCATATTTGTAGTAGAAACTCACTTTCAAAATTATCCCCTAAACTTTAAACTTTAAAAAACATATTCATATAAAGCATTACATCCTAACATTTGGTTTGTGTTCATGCCTACATTATACATATTGATGTAATAGTTTCATACAGTGTTGAGCTTACCCATATATTCTAGCATTATTGTCAAACGGCATGGGGTAGAGCTGAGTTTGAGGCAAAACACACAAGACTATTAAGAAGAGCAGAGAGGAAAGGCATTTTGGAAAAAAGGAATCCCACAGACATACAAATGGCAAGGAAGGAAAGACACTCACAAGATTATATACAGATGTAGTGATTACTAAATGAATGGCAGGTGAGGCACTTAACAAAGGAAACCAGAAAAGATGTAAAGCAAGAGCAGAAGTAAGCCTAGGAATATACAGAAGGCTCTGCAAAAATAGTAACAGGAAACACTGAACATGGTATGCCCTTCCAAAGTCACCAGTTCATCCCACGGCCACTGAGAGACTAATTATATGCACAACCATGCATGCTCACATTCACTCCTGTGGTCACTTTAGAGTCACCAATTAACCTGAGACTGTTTTTGGAAGGTAGGAGGAAGTTGTAGTAACTGGAGATTCCCCGTGCTCATATGCAAAGAAAATGCAAACATCATACAGGAAAACTCTTACGTAGCAACTCTCTTGCTGTGAGGTAAGTGCACTAACCACCATAGCACACTGTAGCCCATAAAGAGCATGACATGAAAGTAGAAACAAAGAACCCACAACACAGATCATGACAATTCAAAGATAATTTAAAAGCAATTTTTACTTTTATGTTATGTTCTTATGTTATTTGGATGTACTTTTACAATGATGCCTTGTTCAGTGTTGCCTACAGAGAGTGCGCAAACATGTCTGTGTTATTTTAAATCCTTTCCTAATAGAATAACAATAATACATTGGAGATGAGTTTAAGTGCCAAAACAAAGACTGACTAGACCCCTGTGTTTTTGTGACAATAAATCCATGAAACACAAGAAAGGGAGATCAAGATCATTCTTTCTTTCACTGAGGAACCACATGGGCATATTTTGAAATTAGATAAAGATACACTCATTACATTCCCCATTAAGGTAGACTGTAATCTTATATTTGTAATGATAACTCCATCAGACTTTCAAAAAGGTCAGATTTCGCAAAGATTTCAGACAACACATATTTATTATTGTTATTATTTCATTACCTCATAAAGATTGACTGGCAATAAAAGTAGATTTGAAAAAATGACTTTTTGAAAGAAAAGAGTGAGCCTGAATCAACACAGAAACAGGAAAGCCAGAGATGATTTCTTTCTCTACATTAGTGTGTTAAATTACCAGTCTCCTGTACCACAGCCAATAGAATAGACAGATTATCATGAGTTAACAGGTATGCTTTACTGTTTATACCTTGTTAGATATTTATTACAGTGAACGAAACAGTTCACAGAGTTTGAAAGTTATATGTTGAATGAAAGTATAGTAGATGATTTAGTAATATGGATCTTTGCCAACTTCAATTTCCACAGACAAGAAGAAAATATGATTAAAATAATGGATGATTAATAATGGAAAATTTTAATAATCTTTCAAAACTAATCGACAAACTGATATGTCACTACCTTTAGCTGTTGGGGAAACAAATTTTATGGGACGCTTCAAATCAGGTTTGCTTTAGGTGATAATTTTATCATTCAGAAGCCACGAACATGACATATCCATCCTGAGCCCCACTAATGTCACAATCCACAATTCATTAAAACAAAACTTATCAATTTCACATTTCTAGAAATAAATGTAATGAAGCTCAGAGTTCCATTATGTTTTAAAAATAAAAAATCTATAAATCATTTTGATTAGTGTACTAAATTGTCATTAATGTATTAACATGTGAGAAAATAACAATTTATATAAAAAAATGTTAAACACAGTCTTCAAATATTATAAAGTTCCCCTTTGATCTGTCACTTTTGGAATCTGGTAGTTGAAGTGGAGTGGTTGAATCTGGGTACCCTGCAGACGCCACATGGACAGAGCGACCCTCCTGTTGCCCCCGCAGCGCTCCATTGCATTGGGCCGAGTGAGGCCTCCAAGGGTCCGGGAGAAAGAATTGCATATTTGGCTGCTGCAGACGATGAGTACGGAGGGGATGAGTTGGAAGAAGAGTCAGCTGAGGAGAGGAGGGATTCCTCGGTGACAAAGACTTGACTGGGTCCAGTGTTGAGGGGCCACCCACCGGCGAGCATCAGCCGGGGAACCTGTGCCGTGTTCATGCCCACCCCAACACTTACCTCCCCCAGGAGTCGCCGCATCTCCTGCAGAGAGGAACCCAGCAGGAGAATGTAGTTCCTGGCCAGAACTAATGTTGAGATTTTGGATAGTCTGCGGCCTGGAGGAGCTCCAGGTTGGTGGGACTGAGAGGAGGCTGAGGAATGAGAAGAGGCGTAAGGTACCATGACCTCCCTAAGGGCATCCATGGCAATGTTCAAGTCCTGCATTCGTTTCCTTTCCCTGCTGTTGATCTTTCTCCTGAGCTCCTGCTGCTCTTCATGACTCAGCTCCTTCTGGGGTTTCGATGATTTCTGGCTGTTCTGGAGGCCGTGCATGAGTCCAGAGTTATGGTGGGAGCTCAGGCTAAATTCTGGACGGCCGTGAGGTAATACTTCGGCAGACACAGGGCCACTGAAAGGTAGAGACTGTTCCTGGACCCTGGTTGCTGTGCTTGGTAGCATGTTCATTGTCTGCCTAAGCAGGTAATAAAAAGAAAGGTTTGGTCAAGCTCTAAAAAAAGGCATAAAAATAAATCTTCACACCATCATCCTGATGCGTCCCTTTTTGCTTGAAGAAATCTCCCATCTGCCATGCAGCACAATGGCAGATTCGCCTTTTGCATAAGATACTCCTTGCAGACCACAACTTCTTTAAGTGGTAGCCCAGTTATATCTAATTTCTACAGCTGTCTGAGATGAGAATAACAGTTAATCCAGAGGAGAAGTGAGCTAAATCCTCCTTTCTCAAAGCCCGGTCTAAGTTAAACTCCTCCCCAATACATGATGTGCTCTTTGGAAAAACACACATGCCTGTCTGACTTTGGGATTTAGGATTGACAATTTGAACAAGCTGGTAATTGAGACAAATTGCAACCGGATCCCAATTAAGCTTAAGACAGCTTTAGGGAAGATTGTAGAAATAACTACTATCAAAGAAAAAGTTCTTGAAAGAAAATGCAGAAATTGACAAATCCTTGCAACAAAAGGTACTTCTGAGAAAAAAACTTTTCCAAAATCTGTCAATGCAAATTTGACCCCTTGGAAAGAATGTTTAAGTATCTGCCAACACAATCATATACAGAAAAGAATTGTTTATATTTCAATATGTTGACTGAATATTTTGCAACTGCACAAATAATCAAATCTATCTGTTTTACTGCATCTTATGGAACTCACTCTATGAAGTTATACATGTGATCAAAAACCTACATGGTGTTATACATTAGTTGATTAAATTATTAATGTGACATTTTTTTGTTAGGTTGAGATATTTTTGGTCCATCAACAGCTAGCAGAACAATGTACAGCAACATTGAGAAGGCATATAAGCTGGAGTCCACGGGACTGCTAAAAAGACTTTAATGAAAAGTATTAATAGATAAAGAATGGCAAGATTCTATGCACAATATGCTGTACAACAGCCTTTTACAAACTTGGAGGCAATTAAAATCTTTGACAAGCGATAGGGTAATTGCATTAGCACTTTTAGCATCGGGTAAGAATTGCATGGGAGAATAGTTTTGGTGATGAATGAATCCATCATTGTGTTGGGGAAGTTAATTGACGGTCTTGAGGTGGGAGTTATTGTTGTTCAGGTCTTAGCCGCCTAGCTAATCAAACTGACTGGCAAAGATCTGGGCAACATTCCAAATAGGCAGACAACAGGCCAATTGACTCCACAGGTGAAGCTGGCTTGGGTCACCGAGCACAGAAACCTCAAATGTTCCTTTCATGAGCCACAAAGAGACCAAGGCGACACCCTCATAGCATAGTAAGCGTGGCTGTCCTTTCTTTGCACTCCATCTCCCCTCCTCCTTTTCTCCCACTCCATCTGAGAGGGAGAAAAGGAAGGGATGAGAGAAGAGGAGAGAGACAGCACCATGACAAACAGAAGGCAAGTTGTTTACGTTGAAAGCAGAAGGAGATGCCGGGTAGGAAGACCTTCCTTTCTTCCCAGTTGCTTCTCTGTTGTTGAAGAAGTGAAACATTTGTGTGGAGGCACTTTCCTTCCCCACCAGTGGTCCAGTGTCGTTCGACTGGTGCATGTGATTGAAGCTGAATGGACGGCTGCAGACGGACAGGAAAGAGAGGGCTTCATGAAAAGGGCCAGGCGGATGGACCTCGCACCTGCAGGAGAACAGAATGCAGGCAGCCAGAATGAATGTGTGTGTGTGTTTGGTTGTGTGTGTGTGTGTATGTTGGCATCAGTGTGGATGTTTGTGTGAGTGCTTTTAAGCTCAGTTTGATTTCTATTGCCAATCTAAGAATGAGAGGGAATAAACTGAGCGGTGAAAGAAAGCCGTGGTGGTTTTCATGGCATTTAGGGATTGTTTTTGTGTCAAGAATGCAAAAAGGGACACCTGCAAAGAGACACACATACAGAAGTCAGAACAGAGGTGAAAGAAAGAAGCTGGTGTCCTCCTGAATAGGACACCTCCCCCACTTTTTCTTAACCACTTACAAGGGAAAGAAAAGTGAGCTTGATTTGGCCCAGTATATCCGCTTCCAGCTCCCTGGCCTTGCTCCTTTTGATGAGGCTGAACTAGTGTAGGAGCAATGGTGGCTTCAGGGCAGAAGGAAGACTAGTGTCTTTATGGTTGGAGGAGCTATATCCATCTGGGCAAAGCCTTCCGATGAGGGGTCTGCACCTGGGATATAAATGCTTCTTCTGTGTGGGGCCATTTCCTGTGCTTGATAGACAGGAAGACACCTCAGCCAAACTTCCCCAATAAAAGATGACAAACTGATACTGCCAAGCAAAGGTTTACAATTTCTTTTCATTTCCATCTGTAAGGTGTCTGCTTTAAACAGACAAGCAAATTATAACTGAAATTTCATATGTGTACTTTTTCTGACTGCCCTACCAATATAAGTCTAAATTCATTTGAATTACTGTGAATATTAATTAGCACACACTTACAATACCGTCACTTATCTTTGGTAACTGAAAACGACATTTATAAGAAATCATTTGAAAAGACAGTTTATAGTCAGTATTACTGATCATGTCAGTTAAGTAAACATAAATAATTTTTTATCAGGTTAACCATGAAATGATTGATAGTTGTAAGATTGTACTGCATTATTATTCACACAACTTCATGAGAATCTCAAGACTTTATTGTGAAGATGTGTCGATTGTGACTAAATTAATTTTTCTAACTTAACTAATTTTCTAACTTCAGTCTTTTCTGTACATTCAAACCAAACATCTTTCATTCAAATGCTGGGTTTAAACTGAATGGTTTAAACTGGGTATTTTAAACTTCTAGTCCTAACCATTTATGAGTGAGCGTGAAGTTAAAAAGAAAGGAACTAAAAGTATGAAGGTATATGAAAATTGCAATTAAAGTGAGGAAGGTTGCCCAGGAAAAGTCTCAGAAAAAGTTAAAACAATATAATTCATGGCTTCTATCTAAAGTACCACATTTAAGTCGCCTGATGATTTAAATAAAGATTAAATGTTGCTGCATTCTGAAGTGTCATGTAGAAAATGAAAAACTAAACAAAACACAATGAATGGGCTGCTGTGGGGCTTGTATTTGATCGAGGCAGGTAGGTTAAAAAAAAAGCCAGCTGCTCACACTTATGATTCATGTCTATCATTGTGAGGGAGAAATTGCGTACATGAACTAGTTCTGAAATGTGATTTGTCCCAAAGTTTGAACAAATTCACTAACCAAGGAGCCTGAGACAGCATGGTCCATGACAAAATGTATTCTGAATTTTGCTGACCAAAATGTCACTTTTTGAAAGACAGTCAAAATGTTAAATGAGAAAACGCACCTGCTGCAGGCTTTTAAACCCAAAATGTCTCCTGATTATAATGTGCAAAGAGATTGTAATGAGAAATTAACAGTTGTCAGTGACTGATTTTCTCAATGTGTCAAACAGGTGCAACACAGACAATGAAAATAAAACAGAGTAGGACTTTTCAGAGAGAAAAAAGCTGCTCTGCATCAAAGCAGAGATGGAGGACACACTCATCTATTTGCCCCAACTCCTGCTCTGTGAGGCCAAGCCAAAGACATGAGAAGATTACAAGCTGTTAATAAGGTGGAACCAATTGGCTGAAGGTCTGCTTTTGTCCTTCCCAGGATGCATTGTGAATGCTGGCCTGGGATAGTCAGCATTTGGTGCTGATCATAGTGTGGCTTGGATAATGACTGTGGGAGGGGTGTAAGGTTTTAGCCCCTGGTCTCTTTGTGAAAGAAAACCTAAATGCTTCACTTTCAATAGCTGCACACGCTCAGTTGGTCACGGCTATTTAAATACAGACCGGCACTGGCCACATTCATACTTCATGCTGCTAATAGTTTCACTGACACTTGTTATTCTGAATTTTGATGATCTGTCTATCTTATATTTTTACTTTATGTTGATGTGTATTAATCTTAACATTTCCCACACTGAATGGCAGCATCAGTTGAACTAAGTGTGTCAGTATTGCATTGTCATTATTTAAAATTACCCATAAGATGACCTGATTCTGTAATTGTCTATTGTTACAGCAGATGTTCCACTCCGAAACAACAGCACCAGCGTCAGTTCACCCGTCCCCCAACAAAGTACCCTTAAAACATTCAGTCCTATTTAACTGTGACAATGATGGATTCACAGATATCAAAGTTCCATTGGAATCCTTTCCAAAGTCAAACACAGAGCTTCTTCTACTTCTTTTTCTCACCATGTGATTAAATCCAGGAGGAGGACAACAGTTTAAGTCTAAATGTTATGGGGCAGGCGGGGGGGTGGGGGTGGGGATTCTTTATGGGATTTATTGGTAGTCCAAGGCCAATAGTGGGTTTTCAGAGGTTATCCCATCTCCATGGAGGGAGAGGAAATGAGGCCAAAGTCACTGTTAAAGTGATAGGTGACGGCAGTAAGATTGATGAGGATATGAGCGTATAAGTTCAACATCCTGAAGTGAAGCAAACAAAAGGAGAAAGATATTTACCTCATAAAAGGGAGACAAAAACCAACTAAGTGCCAACTAAATGTTTTAAATGTTAGATTATCAATGAAAACTCTGAAATCTTTCTTTCCCTTCTCAATTCAAAATGCATGTTTCAGTAAAAGTAAGATCTGGATGATTCAACAGGTTGCAAACAAGCTTCAACTATAGTAAGTGGGAGAATCGATCTTCCCATATTTGGAGTATTTTATTAAACTCCAGCTATGATTTAAATGGGAATCTTGTGTTTGGGTAATATTTGCAAAAAAAGTAAATGAAGTACTTGTGATCAAAGTCTGGTGTGGTTGGTCTCTGCTTTGCAACTGACATGTTTTCCATTCAGCCAGTTGCATCTCCACATGGTAGAACAGGGACATGGTGAACAGTATATGTGACCTTTTTTCATTAATTTTCCATGTTTGGTCAGAGATTTCAAGGCCAGTTCCAAGTTACATAAATTACGACATGCTGAAAAGAAGGAAGGAAATATTTGTGACACATTGCAAAGACTACT